AACAGATATTGATAATGGTATTTATTTGTCCGGTGATATTTGTTTGCTAGTGATATTTATTTGTCTAAGAGAGAGAGAGAAAAGGAGAGAGTTGGAAAGAAAGGATGGAAGAGTTGGAAAGAAAGAGAGAGAGAGAGAGAAACAAAGAAAGCAAATAGGTGGGAGGGGGGAGGAAGGAAGAGAGGGAGGGAGAAAAAGTATGCCTTCCCTTCGATTCCCCAGCTGCCCTGCAGAAGGTGTAGAAACAGATATTGATAATGGTATTTATTTGTCCGGTGATATTTGTTTGCTAGTGATATTTATTTGTCTAAGAGAGAAAGAGAAAAGGAGAGAGTTGGAAAGAAAGAATGAAAAAGGTGGAAAGAAAGAGAGAGAGAAACAAAGAAAGCAAATAGGTGGGAGGGGGGGAGGGAGGGAGGGAGAAAAAGTATGCCTCCCCTTCGCTTCCCCAGCTGCCCTGCCGGGACCCGCACAATATGTGTGAAATAGCCGCAACTGGCTCCCGATCTGCCGTTTGGCCACCCCTGGTCTAGAAACTGTTATGTTTTTTAAGCTGTCAATGTCTGTGTCTTTATGCTCGCTTTATGTATTTATTTATTTGATTGATATCCCGCCCTCCCCTGCAAGCGGGCTCAGGGCGGGCCACGACCTTTCACTAAACCTTTTATTAAGTAAACACGATAGCATTAAAACATTAAGATATAAAACATAAAATATAAAATCAAATTTAAATCCAGTCAGAGGGGATGGCAACGATTCAAGGCAGTCCATAGTGTCTCCCGCACAATGCTAACATAGGTGGTAGTTAATAGCAACACGTTTTCCGATGGCGCTCTCTTGACCTCCGAACGGGCACTGTGAGCAGGGGAGACCGAGACAGTTGGACGTCTGCCACCTCAACCAAAGCCCTGGCGGAACAGCTCCGTTTTACAGGCCCTGCGGAATTGTAATAGGTCCCGTAGGGCCCTGATTTCAAGTGGGAGCATGTTCCACCAGACTGGGGCCAGGGCAGAAAAGGCCCTTGCCCCAGTTGAGGCTAAGTTGGGGACTGCCAGGAGATGTTGCCCTGCAGAGTGTAAGGCTCTCCGAGGCACATACAGGGAGACAGGGCGAGATGGTCCCATAGGTATGCTGGTCCCTGGCCACATAGGGCTTTAAAGGTTAATACCATAATCTTGAACCGGATCCGGTACTCAATTGGCAGCCAGTGGGCTTTAGGTAATATCTTTTAAGGTTTTGGGTTTTTTCATAATTTTAAATTCCGTACATTCCTCACGAGCTGGCATAAGTTTTCCCCCCTGAATAAACAACTCTCTGTACATAGAGTGGGGTACAGAAAGGGGAATATTAGGTGACGTTTTTTAGTTGGGTTGTCTGGAAGTAGTTCTGTGGGACCACGAAGAAGGTTTTCCTTTGGATTTGGGAGGGGGGGGCATCAGAAATGGCGTCACCGGACACAGTTGGGATCCGTGGCTTTGTGAAGCACCAACGAACTGTAATTCTTTAGAAGAGGTTCAGGGAATGACCGCGGAAAGGTCCCGCTTGAATAATTTGGTTTGTTGTCTTAGAAGGTCAGGTGGGCTGATGAGATAGAATTTTATATGGCCAGCCACCTTGAGTACTGTAAGGTGGAAAGGTGGCTGATAAATATTTTAAATAAATAAAAAAATTGGGAAAGTGGGATGTCGCGCGCTAGCTCGGCCCCCAGCTACTCCTTAGACGAGCTGGTGCTTCGTCTTCATGAACACACAAAGCTGCCTTATACTGAATCAAACCGTTGGTCTATCAAAGGGTCTATCTCCAGGGTCTCAGGCAGAGGTTTTTCACATCACCTACGGCCCAGTCCTTTTAACGGGGGATGCCGGGAATCGAACCCAGGACCTTCTGCACACAAAGCAGAGGCTCTGCTGCTGAGCCACAGTCCTTCCCCTTGGATGCTCAGGATACAGGCCTAAGCAGGGCTCTTTTTCTAGAAAAAGCCCAGCAGGAACTCATTAGCATAATAGGCCACACCCAGCAGCAGGACCTCATTAGCATATTGGGCCACACCCCTGACAGCACAGCTCATTAGCCCATTAGGCCGCACCCCCGTGTTACCAGAAGTGTGGTTATCCAGCCACAACCACCTTTTGCTTGTTATTCTGTTGACGTTGTTTGTTGTCAAAACCCAGGGCCTTTTTTTGTAGCAGGGACTCCTTTGCATGTTAGGCCACACACCCCTAATGTAGCCAATCCTAATGAGTTTCTGCTGTTGGGTGTGGCCTATTATGCTAATGAGTTCCTGCTGGGCGTGGCCAACTTGGGAGCCAGCCGGAACTCCGTTCCTGTGCGTTCCTGCCCAAAAATAGCCCCGGGCCTAAGGACACTAACCTGGGAGTGAGCCCTATTGAATCATATGCGACTCGCATCTGATTGCGCTGTTTTCCTTTAATTTGACACTGCGATGTCACATTAATGAGCAGAAAATATTTCAGCATTGAGGGGTAAAGTTCTCCAGGATCACGTCCCACCTTGCAGATCTCTGTCCCTTACAACGCAATCGTGTGCAGAATCACCACCATTTCTGCCTGTTGATCACAGTAGACTTAAACTGGGGTCACTCCACATAGGATTGCACAGAGTCCACCTTCCAAGGCGGCCATTTTCTCCTGAGGAACTGATCTCTGTAGTCTGGAGATGAGCTCTACTTCCAGGGGATCCCCAGGTCGCACCTGCAGCCTGGCATCTCTAGTTGAGACCCAACCAGCTTTTCTGTGGGTAAAATAGGAAGGAGAGGTCCCCTCTGACCACCCAAAAAAGGCTATTCCGGTGATCGTGGGACCTGCCATATACAAAAGCCACGTGAGCACATGAGATGGAGGCTGTGGTAAAAAGGGGAACTGGGTAAGATTGAGTGAAAAAGCTGGCCGGATCCAACCTTAGGTCAAATACTGGCATGGTGTAGAACCATTTGGTAGGTCTGTGAATAGACGTTTCATACGCAGCGTTAAAATATAACTCGGCCTCGAGGCAGCCTGAAGCCACTAAACACGCTTTGCCAGTGATGTTGGCTTGCTTGAAAGTTCTTTCCAGCAAGACTTTGGTACTGGCACCAGGGATGCAGCCATCTCGTTTTGTGAGATGCAGCTGTGTGTTTCAGCATCCGGCACTGGGGACATTTATAGGATGAGTGGTCTCCTACTGTAGTGGACATAAGAAGAGCCCCACCGGATCAGACCAGCGGTCTGTCTAGTCCAGCATCCTGTTTCACATAGGGGGCAACTAGTTGCCTTGGAGGGCCAATGAACAGGGCATCAGCCCGTCCTCGACGTTGCTCCGAGCACTGACTCGAGGACCAAACTCTCCAAGGTGGTGGCAGTCCTCCTGGATGGTACAGCACTAGCCTTTATCTGCAGCATGCAGAACAGCTAATGCTTTGCTTCAGTGGAGAGATGGTGGTTATTACAGAGCATCCAGTAATAGGTTAAAGAAGGGAAACAGTGCAGAGAGTCACATGCAGCGGATTAGCCAAACCTCTGAACTCTGTAAGCCATTTCAGATCTTGAAAAAAACCCCACGTTATTTTAAATGTTGTTTATGTCCGTGTGCGTGAGAAGGGAAGGATGGATCTCTCCAGTCCTTTTTTCACTGTATCGTGGCTCCATTCCAGATCGCTTGGGCATTTTTTGCCTTTCAAACTGGCATCCATTGTGTTCCTGACCGGGATAGCCCAGGCAAGCCCAATCGCACCATATCTCGGAAGCTAAGCAGGGCCGACCCTGGCAAGTATTTAGATGGGAGACCTCCTGAGAATACCAGGGCTGGGAGGCAAGAGGCAGGCGATCAAGCCACTTTTCTGAATGGCCTCTGTGCCCAGTAGGAGTCGCCAGAGGTTGCCAGGACTTCCAGGCATGGGGGGACACACACATGCAAAGATACAAAAAAAATTATAGGCACCTGTCATAACCCCAGGGGGTTGCCACCTTCCGCTGCCACCACCCCGGACTTCGGGTCTCTTGAGAAGGCCCAGGGTACCCTCCCAAGCCCATCCAAAATGCCCCCTTTTAAGCCTAGAACATAGGCGTGGTGACCAGGCAGTGAACAATTAAACAAATGGTTTATTAAGACAGTACTGGGGCAAGGAACACAAGACAAGGTGCTTTAAAATTTATAACAGTGTTTAAAGGCAAAATAAACGAATCTAACGTGACTACCTAGTTCACTTAACCGGTTACTACTTCAAGGCCCACCGCCTGCCAGGCCTCCTGACTGTACTCACTGTCCCAAGTGAGGGATCTTTCAGACCAGTCCCCTCAGTTTAGCTCTGTGTGAGGCCAGACCGCAGAAGAGCAAAGAACGCAATTTCCCTCAGTTTAGCGCCGCGAGAGGAAAGAATGCAGTTTTCCACAGCCCACAAAGTATGTAACAATCACCTCAGGAATCCCCGGACACTGATTGGTTACAACCGTTATTAAGCCTTATGGGAATTGTAGGCTATGTCTGCTTTGCACTGCCATGCAGGTCTCTCCTGGGACCAGGTCGCACTAGGCCTTGCTCCCAGTCCTGCACAGATCATGACGGCACCCAGTGTGAACAACATAGTCTCAGATCCTTCGGCTAGCAGGGTGCAAAAATGGTTTGGGGCTGCGTACTTTCCAAAATGTGTCTTGACCAAAGCAGAACTGCAGGAGAAGCTGCTGAAAAATTATTAATCCAAAGCCAGCAGGGCTCTGTCTACCTAAGCTTCGCAGAGAGAGAATGGTGGTGGGTCTTGGTCGATGGCCTTCTCTGTAAAATGGAACCGATGAATTTCCCCTCTCCGTGCTCTCCAGAGAATCAGTGAAATGATGATCATAAAGGATTTTTTAATCTGTCAGAACCCCCTAAGTAGCCAGTGCGAATCATGCCACGACAAATCGCCCATAGCTAATAAAGATTGTTCACTGTGAGCTTTATAACAGCGGTTAAGTCACAAGTCAAGATGTGCAACTCGGTATTAAAGGCACTGCTTTTCTTTGCAGGGTGTTGACGATGCCTTCTACACGTTAGTTCGGGAAATCCGAAAGCACAAAGAAAAGATGAGCAAAGACGGGAAAAAGAAGAAAAAGAAGTCAAAGACAAAGTGTACAATTATGTAAAATGCAACTTGAATCTGTCAGAACTCCCTAAGTAGCCAATGCGAATCATGCTACGACAAATCACCCGTAGCTAATAAAGATTGTTCACTGTGAGCTTTATAACAGCGGTTAAGTCACAAGTCAAGATGTGCAACTCGGTATTAAAGGCACTGCTTTTCTTTGCAGGGTGTTGACGATGCCTTCTACACGTTAGTTCGGGAAATCCGAAAGCACAAAGAAAAGATGAGCAAAGACGGGAAAAAGAAGAAAAAGAAGTCAAAGACAAAGTGTACAATTATGTAAAATGCAACTTGCCCTTTCTCCTTAAGGTGTACGTCGGTAAACGTAATTCAGTTTGGGTTTTTTTTGTACCATTACACTAAATTATTAGCACACACATTTTTTTTTTCCAGCATTACTTAAAACCTTTCTGCTTTTCTGAACCTGTCAGCCTTTTTTATCTGGATGCTTGCTTTTCAGTGGCGGTGGAAACGGTTCCTCTAAAGTGCCAGTTATCTTTTTTTTTGAGTGTCGGTTCTCAAACCCTAGCAATGCCTGTGGGGGGAAAAACCTGGACGCTTTTCTTTTTTTAATTCAAGGTACTTTGGTGCATGCAAAACTCGCTAACGTCTTCTCTTCTTCCTCGGAAGTTGTGACTGTTTTTGTTCTTTATAGAGGCCGGCCTTAACCATTAGGTCAGACTACCTGCGTGTCTGGGCGTTTCTTTGCAAGGAGTGTTTGGGGGGGGCAGGAGGGAGAGAAACACTTCAGCTGCAATAACACGTGGGAATCTCCTTATGCATACATTCCTCATGGAGCAGGGAGCCATGAACGGGCAGAATAGAACACCTCCCCCCCCCCCCAAGTGTGCCTGCCACGTGAAGAAGAGGAGGGGCTGGAGGAGAATGAAGCGTCCCATTGTGGGGGAAGGGGGAGAGATGGGACCAGCAGGCACTGCAGGGACGATTTTGCATATTTGAAGTGCAATAGCCAGTGAGCTTTTGAGATTCTTTGGTCCGCTGCAGTCAAGAGACACCCAGATGCCACATGGCACCACGGCATCCTTGGCAGCTGGAGATAGATGGCGGTTGGTCGCCGAGGTCCAGTGAGTAGTCAAGCATTAGACCTCTGAGAAGGAAGCAGGCCAGTTTTTGGGACTGTGAGAGATGTGCAGCAGGTCAACCAGAAGAAAAAATGTACCTCTCTTGCAAGTCAGAGGCGCAGGAGAAGAGTCAGCTAGAGCCACAGATTGAGCAGGGTCAAGGATCCGAAGCCAGCATTCTCAGAGAATTAATGGTTGTGGGAAGGGAGCTTTGAGCCTGGAGAAATAAGCGTAGCATGGCTTCTCGAGCTCCAGCTTAGCTGTGGTGGTGTTGGGGGGGGGGCACTTAAGCTTGGGATGTCTTTATATTGCCTCAAGCTGGTCTTGAACCTCTGTACAAAATAACACATTAATACAGTATCTGTTCAGCTTTCCATGTTCTTTATCAGCCTTGGTCACAGAGACTAGTCAGAGCAAGAGATCCGAGATTCCCACATCCATTCTGTTTTTTACTTTTCTTTTTAAGGATGACAATTTGGTTCTGCTGGTGGCAATATTGATATACCAGAAGCCTTTTAAAAAAGCCTTCCTATCACTTTTGTTTCGGGGCACCTTTTCTTGTAGCATTTCCGGTCAAGTTGAATAAATGTTAAAAAAAGGAGTTTTGACAACGAACGCCCCCCCCCCGGTAGTATGTCAAGGGTAATTCTTGAAAATTGCTATTTTTTCTATTAAAAAAAATGAAAATGTTGCAAAAAATGGGTGGGGGGAGGAGAAGAAAAGCAAATTTTTCTAATTAGGTTGGTTTGTCATAGAGGATTTCGTCACCCGAATGTTCGTGTGTTCGCAAGAGAAAGCTGCCAGCCCTAGAAAGGTTCCCACACGAATGCAACTGGAACAAGTTGGGAGTTGTGCTGGAACAAAACACCGGTGCAGATCCATTCATTTCAATGCGATGCGAGTGGAAGATGTCCATAGTGGATTATGTCCTTCATTTCTGTGAATGCCAGGCAGCTGTAGCAGTCTAGTAGTTTACGAAGATTGGTTCGCTCAAGGGTAAAAGATTTGTCCTTAGATTACAGTCTCTTGTTTTACCCTGTTCCTTTCTTTCAATCCACTTCTCTTGATGCCTCTTCACTACTTTTACATTTCTCTGTCTAAGGGCCATTTTCTGGCTTGTGCTACCCATCACAGGCGAATGATTCTCCACTCTGAACACACTCGCTCTGGTTCATGCCCTTTACGTGCATGTGCTGCTTGCCGAGGCTCCTCTTAATCTCCTGTTATCCTTGCCATCTTTCCACACCCGTCCTTTTCTTAGGAAGCAGGTAGAAGTGAATGTACTGGATCTGATTAAGGGAAGAAAAAAGCTGGGAGAAGGACGCTGACAAATGAATATATAATTTATCAAAAATACAAGCAATAAATGCAAAAATACAACAGGAAAAAAACGTACAAAGTATAAAGTGTCAAAGTGTATAAAATTACGAAGACTCTGGAATGAAACTTCATTTTGTAGAACAACTTCAGAAGTAGAAATTCATAGCTATAAAGAAGTAACAAAATACATTTTGCTGACAACATGTTGCATGATAGACTGGACAGTAAATTATGAATCTAACCCAATTTTGTGCGCTTTTGAATATACACCCTTTGCAGAATGGATTAAAAGGATCATTATGAAACACTGGCACATTGTCAGTGATATCCATGGATGTTAAGAAAGGCCACATATTGGCTTTAGGAAGACTAGGAGTTTTCAGGACATTTTAGTTAGAGCTGATACAATGTCCCCTAATAGATCATTACTAGCCACAGCTGGCCACCATCGCTGTGGGAGACATTCAGTCTGTCCACAGGCATTGGAAACTGACAAAGTAGTCTTCCCTGAATTAAATTTAGAGGTTGATTTAAAACCAGGGGTCATTTCCTGCAGGAGCGCACAGGAGCGAAGCTCCGGCAGTAAAGATCCAAGGGGGCGGGCACATGCAACAAGCCCCACCCCCTGCTCCCAGCAGCCCTCAGTCAGAGCAAGAAGCAGCCAGGTAAATTGCAGAGCCCCCCCCCCCCCCCCGCACAAACACAACGTGGCACTTTTAAGACCAAGTTTTATTCAGGTACAAGCTCTCCCTCCTCTGCGAGGACAGATCTGCACGTTCCCTCCCCCCCAATAGCTAGCAATCCAAAACAGTCCAGTGGAGCCTGAGCGGTGGGTGCTGCCTTCTGACACACTTCCGGTGATGTCAGGGGGTGTGGCATATGCAAATAAGTTATGCTAATGAGTTATGCTAATGAGCTCCTGCACCTCTTTTTCCACGAAATGACCCCGTTTAAAACATTTTTCCAATTGTGCTTCAAAAAGGATAATCTATCTCATTAAATTTCCCTGTCCAAAATATTATATCAGTATGTCAACACGTGCAATAAGAACCCGCATCATTAAACACAAATCACATATTCATCATCAGCATTTAGACTTGCCCCTTGTTCCTCATTTTGTTGAAAATGGCCATGCTGATAAATACAACAAGGTTGATGTTCAAAAAATGCTATACAGACGAGAAGCATTTTGGATCCATCGTTTAAAATCCTTCCATCCTTATGGGCTCAATCACGATATGGATCTTTCCTGTTTCTTTACGTTTATGAACTATTCCTTTAAGTTTATGAACAGCTTCGGGGTCATATTTATTCGACCCAGTAGGTTCTAACAGCCAGAGGCATAGCCAGCATTTGAATTCTAGCAACTTGACTGGTGCCCGCTAACAAATTTGCTGACCTGTGATTTATTCTCTCCTTGATACTGTAATGGTGAGGTGTAATAATATTATTATAATTGTTTGGAATTTTTATATACTTAGTATCCAGACTGATTACAATTATGAATTTTTTCTTATAGACAATCAGGGTATTGATTTACTAAAACAAAAGGAACAGATCTATATGAACAAAGTATATGAGTAAAAACAACAGACAACAGTGTATTTGATGGTATTGTTTATTATGTATCCTTTATTATACATTCAAAATTTATTGTCCAGTCTATCACACAATATGTTGTCAGAAAAATGTATTTTGTTACTTCTTTATAGCTATGAATTTCTACTTCTGAAGAAGTTGTTCTATGAAATGAAGTTTCATTCCAGTCTTCGTAGTTTTATACACTTTGATACTTTATACTTTGTATGTCACCTATATGTATATGGTTTTGATATTGTCACACTTTGTATTATTTGTACATTTTTTCCTGTTGTATTTTTGCATTTATTGCTTGTATTTTTGATAAATTATATATTCATATGTTAGCGTCCTTCTCCCAGCTTTTTTCTTCACTTATAGCTCTCAGCTGGGTAGTCTTTCTGCTGTACTGGATCTGAAACAGAATCTTTTATCTAATTCTGAACCTGCCCCCCCCCTACGGATCAATAGACCCAGGGAACGGGGCCAGGTCTAGATAAGGATACTCTTCTGAAGACCTGGCTGATGCCCAGTTTTGCAGGAGAAAGTGAGGGTGGAAAACCTAAATGGACTGGAGTAACCCCTGTCCAACAGGATTTTCTGGACATGTTCCGTAAACCAGCTGTTTGCCGAGAGGGGAGGAGCCAGCCGGACAGAGCCGTGGGAGAGCCTGCTGTTGATGCCAGCCTCGCCGGCCCCTCTCCTTAGCAGGCAGGTGGGGAAGGCAGGAGGAGGAAGAGAAACTGCTGTTGCTGCCTCCCAGCTGCCGAGGCTGCCAACGCCAGCTACGGCCGTCTTTCCTCTGCAAGCACTGGAGGAGGAGGGATCCGCTGCTGCTCACCCTCTCCACCGCTGGGGCCACCAATGCCAGCCTCGCCACCTGTTATCTGGAGGTAGGAGGGCAGGAGCCACCCATCACACACACCCTTCCGCATGAGCCAGGACAGCCGGCAAGGGAGAAGGGTGAGCGGCCGCGGCCAGAGCCGCGGCCCCGGTGCAGATAACAATGGCAGCCACTGCCTTTTCAAAGTACAAATGATGGCCCAGGAGGGAGAAGATAGTCCATAAAACATACACAAGGGGAAATCCACCACGCACTGAGGCAACACGGCTTCCCTTTACTTCCTTCTGCTGTAGGGAAGAGGTGACATTGAAATGAATGGCAGCTGCTGTGGCAGATGATGCTCTTAGGGTATACCGTTCCTATAACGGATCAAGGATTCCGCTATCTCTGTTTTCATGTATGGAAGAGGTGACGTTGAAATGAATGGCAGTTGCACAGTCGGAGCGCCACGGCGGACTGTGTTCTTAGGCCTGTACCGTCCCCAGAACGGCTTAAGGATCCCACCCTCTTTCTGTTTCCACGTATGGAAAAAGTCTTTCCCCCTCTCACGTGCCAAATCTCTTAACTAGAACTGTTTTCTTAAAAAATGCAACGTGTTTACCTAGAATGTATTTTAACTATTTTTGTATAGTATAAACTAAACATAACATGTTTTTTGTACATTGTGCTCTCTTTTTGGGTTATTTCCAGGAAGGGGGGGGGAGAGGAAGCTGAATATATGCAATGTAATTCGTGTGATTTTCTCTCCCCCCCCCCCCCCCGTCCGGTTTAGTTACGTGACCTCAGAATGTTGGTCACAGACATTAAAGAATGACCACTGTTCACTTTACAAATGTTCTTGTTAGCAGCGTATGCTGTGAAATGAAATGAAAACTGTCGATTTGTCACAAACAATCCTGCTTCTGTTGTGATTAATAAAAAAAAAATGTTTCTGTTGTTCAGCTATGATTTCGAGAGGTTTTTCTGTGTCCTCGGTTGTTCCCCAACTGCCACCCTCTGTCCCCGGCCCTGAAGAAATGAGTAGAGCCACTATAAGGCAAACCCCTGAATCCCTGTATCGGTGAGGCAGTGGACCAGTAGTTGATGGTCGAATGTCGCCGACAGGTCTAACAACAACAACACCGCCGTACCGCCTCGATCCAGATGCCTCTGGATACCATCTGTGAGGGCGACCAGGACCATCTCTCTCATGGCCTGGTTGGAAGCCGGACTGGAAAGGCTCTAATATGGAGGCGTCACCCAAAAAGCCCTGAATAGCTTATTAAGAACATAAGAGCCCTGCTGCATCAGACAGGTAGTCTACCATCTTGTCTCACACAGTGGCCAACCAGTCCCTCTGGAGGGCCAACAACAGGGCACAGAGGCTGAGGTCTTCCCTTGATGTTGCCTCCTGGCTCTGGGAGTCAGAGGCTTAGTGCCTCCAAATGTGGAGGTTCCCCATAGTCAGCATGGCTAGTAGCCATTGATAGGCTTATCCCCCGTGAATCTGTCTAATCCCTTTAAAGCTGTTTCTTCCGGTGGCCATCACTACATCCTCTGGCGGCAGATTCCACATTTTAATTGCTCTCTATGTAAAGTGGTATTCCCTGTTGTCTGTCCTGAACCGCCTGCCCATCAGCTTCATTGGATGCCCTAAAGTTCTAGTCTTTAGGGAGAGGGAGAAAAATTTGTCCTTCTCAACTGTACCCACCCCATGCGTCATTTTATAAACCTCTGTCATGTCCTCCCCCCCCCCCTTTGGTTGTCTCTTCTCTAAACTGAAAAGTCCCAGATGCTTCAGCCTTTCATTTATAGGGAGGGTACTCCAACCCCCTAATCATCTTGGTTGCCCTTTTCTGAAATAAAATTGGAGGTGCGTTTCATTCTTATAGCCAGGGTAGTTAATTCCTTGTTGGAAGCAGCAGTGACGATCCGATCACTCCTGATGCAGATGGACCACATACTTCTCTGCCCCTAGAACAGTCTAATTGGAAGGCAGAGGAGAGCTACAGCAACTGTGCAGAGACACACCAGGCAGCCTCTTCTATGGGAAGGTGCTTTGAGTTCCTCAGCACTTTTAATGTGTTTATTCAAACATACGTGTTATGCCTTGGTCCGCCATAATTCTGGAGCGAAGCAGCAACTGGAGTGGGATTGTAGCAGTTTGGGTTTGCAACTGCTTACCCTCCCCTCCTCACGAGGGAAGTCGTGTAAGTTATTTTGAAATAACTAAAATGCCCCTGTAAGGACCAAAGGGTCATAATTCAGATGGCAGCATACATCTGTCTGATTTGATACGAAGCCTCCCAATTCAATGTGTTCAAACCTTTATTTTGGATCAGAAACGATTACCAATGGTTTGTACAAAATGAAGATTGAAAACAGCAGTAGGCATAATCTCAGTTATGGCATTCAAGTTTGCTCGGCACAGAATACGTTGGCCTTTATACCACCCATACCCTTCCTGTAGTTTGCCCCTTTCCCAATTTTTTTTTGGAAGATAAAGCAGTTTAAACCGAGTCAAATTCTCTACCCCCGCTGTTTGCCAAAGATCAAAAGTCAATCTTGCCCTCTCTTTTTAAAGAGGTAGGAAAGAGTCCAGTAGCACCTTAAAGACTAACAAAAATTGTGGCAGCGGATGAGCCATCCCGAGTCAGTGCTCTGACGTCATGAGCGGTGACTCATGAAAGCTCCTCCCCCGCCACAACTTTTTCTAGTCTTTAAGGTGCTACTGGACTCTTTACTCTTTTCTACTGCTACAGCCAGGTCAAGATGGGTAGCCGGGCCAGGGCTCTTTTTGTAGAAAAAGCCCAGCAGGAACTCATTAGCATAATAGGCCACACCCAACAGCAGGAACTCATTAGCATATTGGGCCACACCCCTGACAGCACAGCTCATTAGCACATTAGGCCGCACCCCCATGTTACCAGAAATGTGGTTATCCAGCCACACCCACCTTTTGCTTGTTATTCGGTTTACTTTGTTTGTTGTCAAAACCCTGGGCTTTTTTTGTAGCAGGAACTCCTTTGCATGTTAGGCCACACACCCTGAATGTAGCCAATCCTAATGAGTTCCTGCTGTTGGGTGTGGCCTATTATGCTATTGAGTTCCTGCTGGGCGTGGGCAACTTGGGAGCCAGCCGGAACTCCGTTCCTGTGTGTTCCTGCCCAAAAATAGCCCTGGGTAGCCCTATTTGTCTATCTGCCACAAATTTTGTTAGTCTTTAAGGTGCTACCGGACTGTTTTTTTCTACTGCTACTAACTGATCTTTTCTACTGACTAACGCAGCGACCCATCTTGATCTTTTTAAAGAAGTGTTTGCTGTGCTTATCTAGTACATACATTTTATAACCGGCGTTTAATCCGGAGGCATAGAGAGGTTCCTAAGAAATGATTGTGCTAGGCTTCACTCTTAACCGCCATTAAGCTGAGATGTGCAGAGAATCCCACAGAGAAACGTAACTACAGTACGAATGCAGGGCATGTGGTTTAACTGGAGTCCATTCTTCTCTCAGGCGCACAAAGTGGGATTCTAAACTAGAACTTCTCCCATGATTTCAAACCCGGATTAACAACAATTAACCCATGCACTTAAGTCTGTACATCACAGGGAATGGCAATTACTTTCTAACTGTGATTCTCCAGGGGTCAAGAGCATGTGCGAACCCGGCAATAAGCTAGGTTATACATGAATATGTGAAGCTGCCTTCTCCTGAATCAGACCCTTAGTTCATCGGAGTCAGCAGGGCTATTTTTGGGCAGGAACGCACAGGAATGGAGTTCTGGCTGGCTTCAGAGTTGGCCACGCCCACTACAGCCAAAACCTCTGTGTGCCTGGCTAAAGAGGGAAGGCCTGGAGAGCGACCCTCCCCGGCGACTCAGAGGTGGGCGGGCTGGGGGGGGGGCCCTGGAAGCATCGGGGAGGCATTTAAATGCCTCCCTTCCCAAGGGTATGGCCTAATATGCGAATGAGCTGCACTGTCAGGGGTGTGGCCTAATGTGCTAATGAGTTTCTGCTGTTGGGTGTGGCCTATTATGCTAATGAGTTCCTGCTGGGCTTCTTCTACAAAAAAAGCCCTGGGAGTCAGTATTGTCTACTCAGACTGGCAGCAGCTCTCCAGGGGCTTAGGCAGAGGACGTACACGTCACCTAGTGCCAGATCTTTTTAACTGGAGATGCCGGCGATTGAACCCGGGACCTCCTGCACGCCAAGCAGATGCTCTACCACTGAGCCACGGGCCCTCCCAACATCATGCACATCCTGCCATAATGTAAGTTAAAAGTGGGGATGTGGAATGGTATGGCAGGACTCCACCTCGTCAGATTGCGGAAACGAAGCAAGGTCAGTACTTGGATGGGAAACCGCCAAGGAAGATTCTGCAGAGGAAGTCGAAGGCAAACCACCTCTGCTTCTCACTTGCCTTGAAAGCTCCTTACCGGGGCCACCATAAGGCAGGTGCGACTTGACGGCACTTACGTATATTTATTTATTTATTTGATTTATTTATCTTTAGATTTGTATCCCGCCCTACCCCGAAGGCTCAGGGCGACTGTTGTGGTCTGCAGCACAGGGGCACATCTCCACGACCTGGTCTTCCTGTCCACCACCTCTCCATACAGCGTTAAACCCAAGACGGTCGAGAAACGTCAGATTTTTCTTTCAATCCGCTGTTCTGCTTTAATGGTAGATCAATCCTTTGTAGTTCACCGACACCTGTGGAAGCTCCCAAAATAGCACTGCGAATCACTTGTTATCGTCCTCATAGTATCGCTGTTTCAGAGCTCGGTACTTCCGCAGAAAGTACAACGCCTCCAGCTCTTTGCTGACAAACTCCCCTCGAGCGATGAGCTCTTTAATTTTTTCTGGGTCCTTCACGTCCTTGTTTTTTAAGAAAGCTGCCTTCAGCCGGGTTCGGAAGTAGTCCGCCCCTTTGGGATATTCCCTACCCAGGTACAGCAGCTAGAAAACAAACGCAAAGCATCGGGAGCATTACAGGCATCCGGTTGGTTTTGTTTGTACCTGATTGGTTACTGCTTAGAACTTACATTTTTGTAAAGATTCAGTACTTCATATCTTAAGGGACTGGCCATAATTCAGCAGCATATCCTCTGCACTGGCATTTACCTGAAGAACAATCATTTTAATATTAGATGGATAGCATTCATTTCTAAGTTTAAATAATTTTTATTGTTATTTTTAATAGTCTCCCAGTTCAGATAAATTTATTTATTTCCATTTTGTCATTCTTCTTTAAACATGTTCATAGAAGAAGAAGAGTTTGGATTTATACCCTGCCCTTCACTCGGAGTCTCAGAGCGGCTTACAAACTCCTTTCCCTTCTCCCCACAACAGACACCCTGTGAGGTTGGTGGGGCTGAGAGAGCTCTTTCGAGAACTGCCCTTGAGAGAACAGCTCTGACAGAACTATGGCTTGCCCAAGGTCATGCAGCAGCTGCAAGTGGAGGAGTGGAGAATCTAACCCAGTTCTCCCAGATTAGAGTCCACTCACTTAACCACTACACCAAACTAGCTCTTTATGCTGTCTTCCAGATTTTTAATTTGGTTTTAGTTTCCAGAATCCTAATCCTATTACATTACTTATGGGGTGTCCCAACTCCCATCCTATTGATTTACACCAGGGATCCCTAACCCTTTTGAGCCTGTGGGGCGCACCTGGAATTCTGACATAGGGTGGTGGATACAACCATAAATTGACTGCCACAGTAGGTGGAGCCAAACACACACAGAGAAAGTCCAAGAACATGGGAGAAGAGGGGTAATTATCTGTCTATCTAGATATAGATATATGGAGCTGGGGTGGGTCAAGTGGTTAAGACGCTGAACTGCAGACCGGAAGGTTAGTAGTTCAGCAGTTCGAGACCCAAGTGCCGCGTGACGGAGTGAGCTCCTGTCTCTGGCCCCAGCTCCTGCCAACCTAGCAGTTCAAAAGCAAGAAACTGCAAGTAGATAAATAGGTACCGCTTTGGTGGGAAGGTAACAGCGTTCCGTCTGCCTTGGCCTCTAGTCATGCTGGCCACATGACCACGGAAACATCTTCGGACAGCACTGGCTCTTCGGCTTGGAAACAGAGATGAGCACCGCAACCCTAGAGTCGGATTCGACTGGCTTTCGAGCAAGGGAAACCTTTATCTTTACCTACATATAGGTATATACTGGGAAAGAGGAGTGAGAGAATAATACCAGCACTGTGATAGTGGCTCCCACTTCAATTCTTTTTTTTACAATCCAATCACAGAAATTATTCTAAACTGCAACCCACAATTTACAGGTGTAATTAGTTCTGCTAGTCGTGTCTCACGCTCCACCATTCTTGATTCGATCTGATTTCATGTTACTTGGTGAAGTCGGGCAGAACAAGATGAAAACTAGTACTCACACCTTATACTTCTGAGGATGCCAGTCAAAGTTACTGGCGAGACGTCAGGTTCTACAGTGCCAAGACCACGGCCACACATCCCGGAAAATCTACAGCAACTAATGAACTCCAGCTGTGAAAAACTTCGACAACAATCTGATTTCTGCGCGGACTCTAATCTGGGAGAACCGGGTTTGATTCCCCACTCCTCCACTTGCACCTGCTGATGTGACCTTGGGTCAGTCACAAGCTCTGGCACAGCTGTCCTTGAAAAAGAGCAGTTTGTGTCAGAGCTCTCTCAGCCCCACCCACCTCACAGGGTGTCTGTTGTGGGGAGGGGAAGGGAAAGGAGTTTGTAAGCCGCTCTGAGACTCCAAGTGAAGGGCGGGGTATAAATCCAATTTCTTCTTCTTCTTCTTTAATAGGTTATTTCCCCCCTAACCGATCTCTTTTTGTAACATCTCCTCACTCCCACCTTTCTGTTGTTTGTAAGCGTAAACGTATATCTGTTGTGAATGTTCACTCCGCTGCACCTGATGAAGTGAGCGCTGACGTAAAAGTTGACAGCAGCTGATAGAAATTTTGCCACGCGCAGGGTAGTTTGTCTCGAAGTAACCAGGATGATTTTGCTTCCGGGGAGAGGAAGTCCTGATTAAATAAAACTGCCTTATACTGACTCAGACCCTTGGTCCATCAAGATCAGTATTGTCTACTCAGACTGGGAGCAGCTCTCCAGAGCCTCGGGTAGAAACTGTGTAGGCAGAGAGGGAATACCACTTCCTCATCATGAAGCTGGCTTACACTGAATCAGACTCTTGGTCCACCAAGATCAGTATTGTCTACTCAGACTGACAGCAGGTCTCCTCTCCAAGGTCTTCCACATCCCCTGCTGCCTGGTCCTTTTAGCTGGAGAAGCCGGGGTTTGAACCAGGGACCTTCTGCATGCCAAGCAGATGCTCTACCACTAAGCCACAGTCCCTCCCCAATGAGAATTCTTAATCCCCCCCCTCCCATTTAAGCAAGCCAACTTTGTACCTTCCCAGTCCGTAAATTACCTGCAGCTTCAACACCCACCCAGATGTTTGTGGCAGGCAGGGAGAGCGGGTGACTAGTGCGCCTGCGCACGATGAAGAAGGGGGAAGAGGCTGCTTCTTAGCCTTAGTGCGACTGCGCAGGATTGTGAGTAGTGTACCGGAGCGGTCAATCGCCGACGTACAGGAGAGTGGGAAGGCTGCTGCGCCTGCGCAGAAAGCGAGGCCCGCTGGTGAAATCATAGAGGCAAAAAAAGTTACACAGTTTTCACTTCTGGGTTTCATTCGAAGGCTAACACATGCGGGGCAAGAATAAAAAAGAGGGCAGAGTGGCTTTACTTTCCGCTTCCTTCAAAGTACATTAAAAAGAAGGACTCAGTTAAACTCTAAATCTCCACGAAGCTCGGTTGTGTAACTTTGCCTTGGTTGCTCGCCCACCCAGCCTAACCTAGTCAATAAAGAACCGGACGTGAACTAACGGGGTAATCACGCCCCGCAACTGTCTCTCAAAGCAAAGGTTTGTGTGACGTAACACGGCGGGGAGTGGGAAAGGGGGAATCTCCGCGAGACGCTGCGCCTGCGCATGGGCGGAGCTGGTTGTCCGGGAAACAGGGGGCGGGAGATGTAAACAATTTTTTCCCACTGCTCTGTCTGGACGTCTTCGAAGAGGCGGCGAAATGGTGAGGAGGAAGGAGGGAGAGCGATGCATTGCATTGCATTTTTGCTAGGGGGAATTGGAAACCTGTGGGTGGGGCCCAGATTGGCATAAATCTCCATATGCAAATATATGTTAATATATATTTGCATATGGAGATTTATGCCAATCTGGGCCCCACCCACAGGTTTCCAATTCCCCCTAGCAAAAATCAGCCGTGGACAAAATGCTCCCACAAAACCCATTAATATATATTTGCATATGGAGATTTATGCCACCCACAGGTTCCCCACAAGCTTCCATTGATTGAACTTCCAGCCGTGGACAAAATGCTTCCACAAAACCCATTACTATATATTTGCATATGGAGATTTATGGCAGTCTGGGCCCCGCCCACAGGTTCCCCACAAGCTTCCATTGATTGAACTTCCGCCATGGACAAAATGCTTCCACAAAACCCAGGTTGCAATATTCCTGATGTGTTTTATCATTTTACTTTTTGCATTCAATTCTTTATTCCTCCATTGAGGGGGAAATGAAGAAGTATCGTTAACGTATGGTCGGTTTCCCCCTAGGGTTGCCAGCTCCAGTCCGGGTAATACCTGGAGATTTGGAGGGTGTGGCCTGAGGAGGACGGGGTTTGGGGAGGGGATGGAATTCAATGGGGCTCCATGCCGTAGAGTCCACCTTCCAAGGTGTCAATTTTCTCCAGATGAACTGATCTCTGTCGCTTGGAGATCAGTTGTAATAGCGGGAGACCTCCAGCCGCCACCTGGAGGTTGGTAATCCGGTTCCCCCCGAGGCTTATCCTCTTGAAAGGCTCTCCAGAATTTCTGACTGGCTGCTGGAGATTTAGTGGGCTGTGCGGAGTTTTTAAAATGTTGCTTGGACAGCGGTTGCCACTGCGGCACCAGGACCTTCACGGTGTGGCTGAAGGTAAGATGCGGCAGCCGTTTTGTGGCTGCCTCCACCTCCTGCAGCAGTCGGGTTGCCTGGTCGCTAGTCGCTACCTTCTGCCGGCAGGGGGACGGAGCTTCCTTTCCTGGAAATTCTGGTGGGTGCACGTAGTGCATGCACCGCGATGATGTCACCCAGAAGTGACGTCATCGCGCTAGGCATGTCGCCACGGGGACGCTCTGGCATCCGACCAGAAACTCTATGGTAACATAGAGGGTTTTTTTGCCGAGCGCTAGAGCGTCCCCCTGACGACGTGCCCAGCGTGATGACCTCACCTCTAGGTGATGTCATCGCGCCGGGCACGTTGGCGCAATCCCAGGACATTAGGGACGGGGTTCCCCCTGCTGACTGAATCCGGGCCAGCAGATTGGGGTCCCCTAAAGCGGGCAAACCCCCACCCCCCACCGGGGGAATGGCAAGCCTTTGTGGCAGCCATTTTTTGACTGCGCTCACCGTGCCGTGTCAGAATTCCAAAGGTGCCCACAGGCTCAAAATGGTTGGGAACTCCAGTTTCAGAGCAAGATGCCAGTCCAATAGCACCTTAAAGACCAACAAAGACAGAACTTTGACTCTCAAAGTCTCATTGGTCTTTAAGGTGCCCCGGGACTTTTCTAGTGCAGACCAACACTACTACCCCCGCCTGAAATTATTTGTGGTTTAGTTGAATTGCCTGTTCTGGAGCTGTACAAAGCCCAAAAGGGGCTCTATTACCTTTAGCATCTGTGGAGCAGACAGAAATCGAACAAAGGACGCTTTCCCTTCCTTGTGTCTCTTTCCTGTGAAAGATACCCACAGCTTCTGCTTCTGTGGTTTCTTCCTTTCTGCTTCCCATTTAGAAGCATTTTCCAGCGCAGCTCAGGGAAAGATTGCAGAACCACAACTGCAACCACAGCTCCTTCCCGTGAGCCTCTTTGGCCTCATGCCTTTGGTGTCTCCGATCTTGGTGATGGTATCTGAAATATTTCCCCCCCCCAGCCTTGACAGTTTTATTCTGACTCATGCACTTTCCTGACTTTTCCTGTTCTTTTTCCTTCCAACGTTTAGGGTCCAAAGAAAAAGGTATGTAGGTAGATCAAAAGACCTGACATATGCCTGCTCACTGTAGATTAACCGTAATGTTTGTACTGTAAGCTTAAAGTTTGTGATGCCGTGTTAATATTCATGGACACATCCCGCAGTCCGGGAAACCAGGACTGCTGAGAGCCACCAGAGGCCCTCAGACAAAGGTGTCTTCTGGGTTTCTGGTCACACCACCTTGACTCCCCTCACACATTGTATGAAACCAAATCACACAACCTGCGTGACTTCACGGGACCCCAAAATTATTCCCCCCTCCCACCTGCTTAGTAGGATTGCAGGAACGATTGAGGGAAGCATTAGAGAGCCAGTTTGGTGTAGTGGTTAGGAGCGCGGACTCTAATCTGGGAGAGCCGGGTTTGATTCCCCACTCCTCCACATGCAGCTGCTGGTGTGACCTTGGGTCAGCTACAAGTTCTTTCAGAGCTGTTCCCTCACGGGCAGCTCTCTCAGAGCTCTCTCAGCCCCACCTACCTCACAGGGTGTCTGTTGTGGGGAGGGGAAGGGAGAGGAGTTTGTAAGCCGCTCTGAGGCTCCTTTGGGTAGTGAAGGGCAGGGTATAAATCCAATCTCTTCTTCTTCTTCTTCTAAATTCATCATGCACTGTGTATCTACTGCCAGGCGATTTCATTGGGTGTTCCTTACCGATGATGTTAAAAAAGAGAGAGAGAGTAGGAAATAGATCTTGCATTCGTGTTTTATCAGAGTTATTTTCTTAACGTCTTCAGTTTTCTGTAAGATAATGTCAGTACCCAAAGACTGGCTTTCAGGGGGAAAGAGCAAGAGTCCCAAGTAGCACCTTAGAATAACAAAATTTGTGGAAGGAAGCTTTTGTGAGTCGTGCATATTGTGTTAGTCTTTAAGCTGCTGCTGGACTCCTGCTCTTTTCTACTGCTACAGACAGAATAACACAGCTTTCAGGGGGATGAATACGTTAAACTCTGGTTATACTATGGCCATTTTTGAAATGTGTAATCTAAATGTATTTCCTTTTTTTTTAATGTGCAACTCGCATTCAGTCTGCCGGCAGCGGTGGCAAGAAGAAACCCAGCAAAGCCGAACGGCTGAGGATGCAGAGAGAGGAGGAGGAGAGGAGACTGTTTGAGGAACGTACGGTGAATTCTGTACCTTGAATTGTCCTTTGGGTAGTGGAGGGCCGGGTATAAATCCAATCTCTTCTTCTAAATTCATCATGCACTGTGTATCTACTGCCAGGCGATTTCATTGGGTGTTCCTTACCTATGATGTTAAAAAAAAGAGAGAGAGTAGGAAATAGATCTTGCATTCGTGTTTTATCAGAGTTATTTTCTTAACGTCTTCAGTTTTCTGTAAGATAATGTCAGTACCCAAAGACTGGCTTTCAGGGGGAAAGAGCAAGAGTCCCAAGTAGCACCTTAGAATAACAAAATTTGTGGAAGGAAGCTTTTGTGAGTCGTGCATATTGTGTTAGTCTTTAAGCTGCTGCTGGACTCCTGCTCTTTTCTACTGCTACAGACAGAATAACACAGCTTTCAGGGGGATGAATACGTTAAACTCTGGTTATACTATGGCCATTTTTGAAATGTGTAATCTAAATGTATTTCCTTTTTTTAATGTGCAATTCACATTCAGTCTGCCGGCAGCGGTGGCAAGAAGAAACCCAGCAAAGCCGAACGGCTGAGGATGCAGAGAGAGGAGGAGGAGAGGAGACTGTTTGAGGAACGTACGGTGAATTCTGTACCTTGAATTGTGGTCATCTTAGAAGAATACTGGAGGGGGGATTATCCTTCGATGAAGCGGCTGTATACTGAATCAGATAATCAAAGTCAGTATGGTCTACTCAGACTGGCAGCAGCTCTCCAGAATCTCAGGCAGAGGTCTCTCATATCACCTACCACTTGACCCTTTTAAAACTGGAGATGCCAGGGATTAAGAACGTAAGAAGAGTCCTGCTGGATCGGACCAGTGGTCCATTCAGTCCAGCATCCCGTCTCACACAGTGACCAACCAGTTCCTCTGAACGGCCAACAACATGGCATAGAGGCCGAGGCCTTCATAAGAACATCAGAAGAGCTCTGCTGGATCAGAGCAATAGTCAGGGCTCATTTTGTAGAAAAAGCCCAGGAGGAACTCATTAGCATAATAGGCCAAACCCAACAGCAGAAAGTAATTAGCATATTAGGCCACACCCTGACAGCACCGCTCATTAGCACATTAGGCCACACCCCCGTGTTACCAGAAGTGTGGTCATCCAGCCACACCCACCTTTCCCTTCTTATTCTGTTTACCTTGTTTGTGGTCAAAACCCAGGGCTTTTTTTGTAGCAGGAACTCCTTTGCATGTTAGGCCACACCCCCCTAATGTAGCCAATCCTAATGAGTTCCTGCTGTTGGGTGTGGCCTATTATGCTAATGAGCTCCTGCTGGGCGTGGCCAACTTGGGAGCCAGCCGGAACTCCGTTCCTGCCCAAAAATAGCCCTGGCAATACTCCATCTAGTCCAACATCCTGTCTCCCCGCACAAATACCTCCCCGCACGCCCCCAGCGTTCCGTGCACCTCGGCGTCTAGTCATTCCAGCCACGTGGCCACGGAAACGTCTTCGGACAGCGCTGGCTCTTGGGCTTGGAAACGGGGATGAGCACCGCATCCCTAGAGTCGGATTCGACTGGCTTTTGAGCAAGGGAAACCTTCACCTTTACTAAATAAGAGTTATTTTGGAACAGCGCTCTCTCTCTCTCTCTCTCTCTCTCTCTCTCTCTCTCTCTCTCTCTCTGATACTCTAGGGGTCCCATCCCCTTCCCCTATCGAGCTGGGTAAAACTGGGGATGCTGGGCATTGAACCCAGGACCTTCTGCATACCAGGCACTGAGTCACAACTCCTCCCCATCACATTAACACACATAAAGCTGCCATATACTGAATCAGACTTTTGGTCCATCAAAGTCAGTATTGTCTGCTCAGACTGACAGCGGCTCTCCAGGGTCTCAGGCAGAGGTCTTTCCCGTCACCTACAGCCTGGTCCTTTTTAACTGGAGGTGCTGGAGGTTGAACCCAGGACCGCCCACATGTCAGCAGAGGCTCTACTGCTGAGCTGCGGCCCTTCTCCAAGGTGCCCTACAGCAACACCGACAAAACGTTCAGCACATCCACGTGTGGTTGCAGACTTACTCAGATAACCATGGAGGCTGGCCTTGAAGGCAAAGCACTGATGTTGGACTGAAGTGGACTGTTGGACTGCCACAGGAAGTGGTGGCGGCTACAAGCATGGACGGCTTCAATGTTGGATCAGGCCAAAGGCCCATCCAGTCCAACACTCTGTGTCACACAGTGGCCAGAAATACCAGTGCCATCAGGAGGTCCAGCAGTGGGGCCAGGACATTAGAAGCCCTCCCACTGTTGACCCCCCCCCAAGCACCAAGAAGACAGAGCATCACTTGCCCCAGAGCCCCTAGCTATACCTTGTGGCTAATAGCCACTGATGGACCTCTGCTCCATATGCTTATCTAATTCCCTTTTGAAGCTGTCCATGCTTGTAGCACCCACCACTTCCTGTGGCAGTGAATTCCATGTGTTAATCACTCTTTGGGTGAATAAGTACTTCCTTTTATCCGTTCTAACCCGACTGCTCAGCAATTTCATGGAGTGCCCACGGGTTCTTGTATTGTGAGAAAGGGAGAAAAGTACCTCTTTCTTTACCTGCTCTTTCCCATGCATAATCTTATAAACCTCGATCATGTCACCCCTCAGTCGTCTTTTCTCCAAGCTAAAGAGCCCTAAGCGCCTTAACCTTTCCTCATAGGGAAAGTGTTCCAACCCTTTTATCATTCGAGTTGCCCTTTTCTGCACTTTTCCCAAAGCTATAATATCCTTTTTAAGGTGTGGTGACCAGAACTACACACAGTATTCCAAATGAGGTCGCACCATTGATTTCTATGGGGGCATTATGATATTGGCTGATCTGTTTTCAATACCCTTCCTGTTTGACCTGTTGCTGTTGTATTGGGTGGTTACGCAGGGGTGATAATGTCAAGTTAATGGTGCCTGCATTGCCTGGCTTCGTTTCACCCCCTCACTGACAATCTTATTGGGATGTTTGGTTAACATAGCTGTCAGGTAGCCCTGTCATAAGTCTGGAATGTGGAGGGGTGCCCTCCCGTTTTCTGTCTCAGCTCTCCCTGGCTCACCAACTGTTTGCTATCTTATGCTTGACCTTGTAGATGCCACAGCTGCAGTTTTACTCGGCTGGGAAAGTTAACGGCTTTTTGCTTTGCCTGCTTGCTTTGCCTGCCCACGCGAGATGTATCCATTGGCTTATGCTTACTGGGGGGATGTTTGATTCTAGTATAAGTCAGAGGCCCTTGTATAGGCGGCCATTCCTGACACAAGCTGTACATGTGTCTCTAGTACTGGATTTACCAATAAACAGTTATCTTCTTATGAAGCCCTGTGTTGTGTAACCTGACTAAGGACCCTGACAATAGCAGAGTTTTGCCCAGTCAAAGAAGTGTGATCCTGAGTGCAGTCAATAAATCTTCCAAGAGGTTTTATTTATTTCATTATTTGCATTTATATCCCGCCCATTCCTCTGGCGGGATATAATTCATTAAAAATAAATACAATTTCAGTTTAAAACATTAAACCTTAAAACGCGATAAAACATTATAACAATTAAAACAATGGGTACAGCTTGGAACAGCGTCAGTTGGCTAAAACGTTCTGGCCCGATGGCACAATGAGCTAAAGGCCAGTAGTCGGTGGTCAGTAGACGGGTGACAGCCAATGTTCCCTCTAAGCTGTGGAAACTCGTGAGCAGAAATTATACTTTGTGAGCTGCTGGCATTAAAGTTCTGAGTGAGCGATTTGGCTACTGCATAAATTAGTTTGCTCTGGGGCCCTCCTTCCTGAGCTAAGACAAAAATGTATGAGCCGGAGGCTAAAAAAACTGTGAGCTAGCTCACACTAACTCAGCTTAGAGGGAACACTGGTGGCAGCAACCTCAGGGAGACCATAGATGGGCGCCCGCTGCCTCAACCAAAGGCCTGGTGGAACAGCTCCGTCTTGCAGGGCCCTGCGGAATCGAAGGAGATCCCGCAGGGCCCTGGTCTCAATAGGGAGCGTGTTCCACCAGGCTGGCGGAAAGCCCTGGCCCTAGTTGAGGCAAGACGGGCATTTATTCAGGTAGCTCCAGTTCGCATTAAAGCTGCAGGCGAAAGGAGAGAGAGAAGCCTAATCCAAAGAGTATTTTCCCTATCACAAACGGCCAGCTTGTCCGGCATCAAGTATGTGGGTTATGAGGACATTATATCTACAGGAGGGGCCTGCAGAGCCATGTGTCTCCATGGAAGGCCATGTGATGAGAGTGAGAGGACAAAGAGAGAGAGAGAGGGCAGCTCCCAGGCCAAGACAAAGAGAGGCATCCCATTCAAGGAGATAGCACCTGTATTCAATTAGAGTGATGTCGCGTCCCCAGTGTCCGGGCATGCTGAGTTGCTCAATCCAACAACCTTTTGTTTTCCAGAGGAGGCCCGCTTACGGGCCGAGCGAGAGGAAGCCGAAAGGGTCGAAAGGGAACGGATCGAAAGAGAGAAGACGGAACGCCTGGAGGCCAAAGTGAGTTGACGCACACCTACCGGACGCTTGTCGGCCTGGTTTCTAAATTTCTCTAACACAGACACCCGCTGACTGTGAGAATGGCATGTAGGGTTAACCGACCAAGCTCTAGCTGGGCCACGAGTTCTCCTGGGATGGCAAGAGATCTCCAGGCTACAGAGATCAGTTCCCCTGGGGAAAATAGCACCTCTGGAGGGTGGATTCTGCTGAACTCCCGCCCCCTTCCCAAACTCCGCCCTCCCTAGGCTCCACCCCCAGATCTCCAGGAATTTCCTAACCTCACAAATGTCAACCCTATGTATTTTCCTATGTCCAACAGATTGGGTTTTTTTTCCCCTTTGCAACATCGTCCTTTGCCAGCTAATTTTGAAAACTCCAGAGAACGCACATCCATATATGGGCTAGCTAGCTGCTAGAAACACTACATTGGGTTGAATCCTGCGGATCCATTTTCCTCTAAGGGCGGTAGACACGGTCATTCCCCCCCCTCCATTCTACTTTACCACAACCCTTTGAGGTAGGTTGAACTGAGAGAGAGAGTATGACTGGGTGACGGTCTCCTAGTGAGCTTCACGGCGGGTCTGAGGTTTGAACCCCGATGGCCCCGCTAGGCTTGCCAAGTCTCCCCGGGGGGCGGGGAAACCCCTGCCCCAGAGGCCTGTTCCCTGCCGGCGGCGGATCGGGCCCCAGGGGGAACTCCACCCCAACGTGCACGTCACACGGAAGTGACGCGGGTACGCCGGGCATGCTGGGGGCGGGGACACGGTCATCCGAGGGAAAACTCTATGGTTTTCCCTCGGATGGTTGTGGCCCCGCCCCCAGCGTGCCCGGCGTGCCTGTGTCACTTCCGGGCATCGTGGATGCAGAGCGCACGCACTCCAGCCGCCAGCCGGGAGTCCCCCGCTGCGGCTGAATTTATACTTGGCAACCTTAGGCCCCGCCTTAGTCCTGCCCTCTAACCACTATAATACACTGGCTTGTGGGCTTCCCGTCTCTCTTGCTGGTACTGGAAATTGGATGCAGCATTCATTGGTGCTTGGGATGGATCCAGCCATGCTCTCTTGAGTGGCCTTAATCTTTTTTTAAAAAACAGCACATCGTCTTCACTGTTTGTGATCACGTTTTACGCTCAGGTGCTGTTCGTGTTGAGGTGCTGGCTTTAATTGGTTTGGTGGCATCATGCCCGCAAGCTACCTTAAGTATGAAGAGCTAGACTCAGGGTAGAAGCTTTGGAGAGTCAACGCTTCCCTTGTCAGGTATCTGACGAAGGGGAGCTTTGACTCTCCAAAGCTCATACCAGGTGTAATGATTTCAAGTTATAAGTGTATGTTCCTTTAAATCAGAGGTGTCAAACTCAATTGTTACGAGGGCTGGATCTGACATAAACGTCACTTTGTTGGGCCGGACCATGTGTGCCATAATTGTAACGCCGGGTACCGGAGATATAAACTGCTCCGAGTTGGTGTATCTTCACTACAAGGCCCCATGGGCTGGGAGTAGGGTTGCCAAATTATTTTTCGCCGGGAGCGGGGGGCTCTCGGCCGGCGTCTTTTGCGTGCCTTTTGTTTTCCCCTCAAATGGCGTGGCCCCGCCCCCAGCGTGTGACGTCACTTCCGGATGATGCACACGCGGGGGTGGGGTTTCCCCCGGGCCCCGATTCCGCGGGAGCTGGAATCGGGGCTCGAAAGCGGGGGGAATTCCGCCCCCCCGGGGGCATTTGGCAGCCCTAGCTGGGAGGGGGGTGCAAAGGAAAACCCATATGGGCAGACTGGAGACCCAGCGGCGCAGCGCTGAGCAGACGCTCCCACTCTGCTTGACTGCTGCAGATGAGGTTGTTCTGCCATGCTGAATCCACAATTGCAGGGGCTCACCCATGCCTCCCGAGCAGTCTCCTGTTCCCTCCCTTGCACTAGTTGCTCACAGGCCACATAAGAGCCCTGGATGGGCTGGTTCCGGCCCCCGGGCCTTATGTTTGACACCCCCGCTTTAAATGGTTGGTAAGTGTCAAAAGAATAAGGGGGGGTGAAAGAGGGAGACGAGTGAGTGAGGTGATTGGTTAGTGACTGAGAGTGTGTGGGCGGAGCTGGGAAGTGTGTGTGTGTGTGTGTGGAGAGAGAGAAGGCAGAGGGTTCAGTTTGATGTCAGAAGTCAGCAGTCAGCATCTGTCAGTTGTGGTCAATCTACACAGAGTCTGAGAAGCAGTCTTCTAACTAGAATCATATAGAAGTGCTGTGAAAGGCATTAAGATACTAAAGGAGGAAGAAAATATACTTAAGGGGGGGCATATTAGGCAAAATCTAATATAGTCAGAGTATTTTAAGAGTGTGAGGGGGGGAAAGCTGACAGAGACCTGAGTAGAAAGGGGAAAGATTTTACTAAGCAGTTTAACAAAACACCTTGTAACCAATACGCTTCCTTTACCAAGAAAGTTTTATCTTGTTTATTGCTAACCCAGAGTCTTATCCTCAGAGCCACATAGTCCAATGAAGGAGCCTTAGAGCTCGGGCACAATACTGTGGGAAAGGTTAATTAAAGACTGGAATTAAATTCCTGGTGGCAGTGATATCTTGAGTGAGAGAAAGAAACAACAAGAAATTTAAAACTACATCACACCTAGCCACACAAAATAAGAGAGAGATACCGCCACACCAGGGAAATCTTTTTTGGTCTTTAAGCTGCTACTGGACTCGAGTCTAGCTCTTCGCCAAAGATCAGCACAGCCACCCTTCCAGAACTTTCTTAAGCACGAAGCAAACCCTCTTATTAGGGATGCCAGCCTCCAAGTGGGACCTGGGGATCCCCTGGAATTACAGCTCATCTTCAGACTACAGAGATCAGTTCCCCTGGATTAAATGACTACTTTGGAGGGTGGACTCTATGGCAGTGTACCCCACTGAGGTCCCTGTCCTCCCCAGGCTCCACCCCCAAATCTCCCGGAGTTTCCCAACCCGGAGCTGGCAACCCTATCCTACCCATCCCCATCCAGTGGCCAGGGGGTACCCAGGAACCCTACCTCTTATGCACAAAGAAATGCTCAATAAATCTGAGGATGGGAACGCAGCCGCTGACTGCGTCCCTTAATCCTGAAATGCATAGCATTCTGAACTAAGACAACTGGATTCCCCTGATGTAACCAAGTAGGCAGGAGACTGCAGTTCCAATGGCATTTTAATCTTTCGAGAGCCAGTTTGGAGTAGTAGTTAAGAGTGGTGGACTCTAATCTGGAGAACTGGGTTTGATTCCCCCTTTCTCCTCGGCATGCAGTCAGCTGAGTGATCTGGGGACAGTCACAGTTCTCTCAGAGCTGTTCTCTCAAGAGCAGTTCTCAGTTAGAGCTCTCTCAGCCAGTGTTCCCTCTAAGCTGAGTTAGTGTGAGCTAGCTCACAGTTTTTTAGCCTCCGGCTCACCCATTTCTGTCTTAGCTCAGGAAGGATGGCTCCAGAGCAGACTAATTTATGCAGCAGCCAAATTGCTCGCTCACCACTTTAATGCCAGTAGCTCACAAAGTAGAATTTTCGCTCACAAGACTCCACAGCTTAGAGGGAACATTGCTCTCAGCCCCATGTACCTCACAGGGTGTCTGTTGTGGGGAGGGGAAGGGGAAGGAGCTTGTAAGCCGCTCTGAGACTCTGAGTGAAGGGTGGGTTATAAATCCAACCCTTCTTATTCTTCTACCTGGTGTTAAGTGTTCAGAACAAAGTAAAACAACCTCATCTTTCCTTGGTTGCATTCTGTATAGGATCAAGAGCGTC